TTTTTTTTTTTTTTAAAGAATTCTACTATTCCAGAATTTTTAGAATAAGGCTTTTCCACACAAGATCAGCCCAAATAGGTCCTCTTTTACTGTATATCATATGGTCATGCGATTGAAAGTACCTCAACACCTGAGTGTGTTTTCCAGATGGGAATAAGCTGCAATTTATATATTTGCATAATTTCAATCAGCTCTTTCTCATTAGCAATGGAATAAAATACAAGAGACATATTTGTGTTTCAATTCACAATACGAACAGCTGTTCACTTTGACTTTAGCCTATACGTTAGTTTTAGAAAATCATGTTATCTGATCTGACATACAGTGTGAAAGCATTTGAAAATTTGCCAGTAAAATTACATTGTTTTGGTCTTGGTTGAGCTTGTGTGGAAAAGCAGTTCAAGCATTTTAAATTTGTGTTAACCGTATGCATTTTGTGTCAAAGCAACAAGAAATGTATTAATTGTATAGCCTACACAGACTGATGTTGTGCTAACTGTGTTAAGAGTTTAGGAAAATTGTTACAATTATTGAAAAATTGTCATAGCGATCGTAAAAAACTGTAACATATTGGCTGTTTATTAATACCTATAAAGTACATATTCTGCATGACCATATTCTGCATCCCTAATCCCCACTAACTATTAATAAGCAGCAAATTAGGAGTTTATTGAGGCAAATGTTGTAGTTAATGGTTTGTTAATACTGTAACGAGAATTGGACCTTAAAATAAAGTGTGATCGAATATTGTATTAAATTAAATATCAGTTTAAAAATTAGCTAGTTGTCTTAATTTGTTGTCTTGTCAATCAGTTGTTGTAACCTCAGTTGGACCGTTGTCAACTCACAGTTTTTAACACTGTCAGATGAAGGTTTCTGTTCATTTTGAAATAAAGATTTATTTTTTTATTTTTTTATTTTTTTATTTATTGTTTTAAAATTGTAAAACATGAATGGAACTACATGATAATATGTCGATGCTCTCAAAGAACATAGGTTATACATGTTTAATATTAAAAAGGATGGTGGAAAATTAAGAAAATTAGGAATGGGATTGTTCATAATCCCAGAAAAAATCTGTGGGGGTGCTATGGGGGTAATTTTGTCTTTGGGGTGCTGAAGCACCTGCTAGCCCCTCCCTAACGCCACCCATGCTTACATGGTTCAATAGCTGAGACCTTTCCCTTTCTCTACAACTATATTAGGGGTGTAATGGTACACAAACACGACGGTTCGGTACATACCTCTGTTTTGACGTCACGGTTTGGTACAGCAGGGGGAAAAACTTAACATAAAATCGTTTTTTTATTTTTTAATCAAACAGTGGTTTACTGAACAAATAGCTCTTTCTTTAAATAAATTCAGTTATAATTAAAATGTTCTTAGGGATAAAAATCTACCTCGGCTTATGCTCTAAAACTATAGTGAGTCCTTTTACATTACTAAATTTTACAGTTAACAACAGAGTCCAAACTTAAATTTAATAACTATTTATTTCAGGGGAGCGGGAAGATGAAGTGAAAATAGCAGGTTTTTTTTGTGATATGCTATTTACACTAAGTGAAATTAGCTATAGATAGTTAAAATAGCAGGATATTCTGCTAATTACTTATTGCAAATAGTGTCAGTTATCTGCACCTCTATGGAGGACAAAACCTGCAAAAACAATAAATACATAAATACACAATTAAATAAATAAATATGCAAATAAATAAATAAATGTCTGTATAAACACACAAATTCTTGTATAAATACATATAGAAATAATTAAACATGTGATTAAAGTAGGCAAATAAATTAAATAAATGGCTGGACAACTGGAAAATGTTTAAGGAAATGCTAAACTCATCCTATTTATTTTCCTATGATCACTCATTAATAGTGTCAGTTATCTGCACCTCTATGGAGGACAAAACCTGCAAAAACAATAAATACATAAATACACAAATAAATAAATAAATATGCAAATAAATAAATAAATGTCTGTATAAACACACAAATTCTTGTATAAATACATATAGAAATAATTAAACATGTGATTAAAGTAGGCAAATAAATTAAATAAATGGCTGGACAACTGGAAAATGTTTAAGGAAATGCTAAACTCATCCTATTTATTTTCCTATGATCACTCATTTATTTCTGAATGTAGTTCCACATTTATTTTTCCTCTGCACAACATGCTAATGAGAGGGTGTCAACCATGGACTTGGTCGGGGTCATGTCATAGCTGGGGGCGCGGCTTTCAAGCTGACAGGAAATGCATGGTGTAAATCCAGTATGGCCTACGTAAAGTCACTTTTTCCGTTTAACAGAGCAAGATACATAAAAAAACTGAGCTGTATAGTCCGTACAGTATCTGTGACTTTACAAAGACCCAAAGAAATGGCCAGTCGTTTCCTGACGTCATTTTTTGTAACCCGATTGAGTCTCCAGCTAGAGACAACTGTAATATCAGTATCCCATGGTCATCGTGAGATGACTGGTAGGAAGTGGTTTAATCGAGGAACAGACATTTTTTCCCATTAGTTATCAAAACAGAAAATGCAGGCGACAAAAGTATGTTTATTAAGCAAATAATGGTTCAGTATTGCAATAAAGAGCTATGTAAGCATTGATATTTTATATTGGCCACTTAAAATCTATCATAATTTAACTCTCTCATGATTATAACTACAAACCTAACCCTATGAAAAAGTGTAAGATAATAATCAGTCACCTTGACTGATGAAGTTAATACACATGTGCAGGCAAACGCTCAAGCACGTCACACACGATCCGCCTACTCTTGCATAATTGACACCCTCTCATTAGCATGTTGCGTAGAGGAAAAAAAAATGTGGAACAACATTCAGAAATAAATGAGTGATCAAAGGAAAATAAATAGGATGAGTTTAGCATTTCCTTAAACATTTTCCATTTGCCCACCAATTTATTTAATTGATTTGGCTACTTTCATCACATGTATAATTATTTATTTATGCATTTAAACAATAATACGTGTATTTATGCACACATTTATTTATTTATTTATTTGTGTATTTATTTATTTATTGTTTTTGCAGGTTTCGTCCTCCATACACCTCAGCATTGTAATACATTATAAAACAGTAACTTGAGTGTAAATTTTAATTCAAATTATTAAATGGATGCCACCTTATTGGGACAAAGCACTCCCTACACCTAACCCTATCTGATACTTTTTCAACTTTTTGATTATTTCCTTCATTTTTTATTAAAAATAAATGCTTTTCTGATGTGATTTGAAATTTGAAAAGGGAGAAAAAAAGTTAGCCAAAATGCAGATTTGAACCTGGGTCGATCACGTCAAAAGATGTATGACACACACTTTACCATCTACACCACTGAATCTGACAATTAATGACCGTCTTTTGTAATGTTGACAATCCCAATCACAAATTGGTGGGTGGAGCTAGTGTAAATAGCCTCTGCCAACAAGGCGGGCTTAGTGTAAATAGATACTCCAATTTTTTAATAATATAATAATAATTTTCTATAATTCCCAACAGTTAAACAGTTGCACACAGAAAAAAACCCAACATTTTTTAAATATTAATAATATTTCTCGAAATGCTCTTTTCTCTAGCAAATTAACAAGCTGAGGACACTGATGACTTGCCTGAGGTACAGTATGTGACGTTTTGTGTACAAGCTGTTTTATTGCCATCTTTCCACGGTTGAAATAATGATTGAGCGATTATATGAGGCATGAGATGTTCATTCATGTTTATATCGCGTTAAATCTAGTAGTAAGGAGGAAGGGAGGATCACGCTGCCGTTTGAACGAGGCGTTTATACAGTGATCTGTCGCGCCACATCAAAGAGCATCCAAACAGCATTTATTGTTTGAATTTCCTGAAAATAGGACATAATTTGAAAGATGCGACTTTGTTTCTTATCAAAAGTAACAATATATAAAACTGGAAGGTTCCAATGAAGTTCCGCTCATGCAGTGGTTAAACCAACGATTTGTTTTGTATTTCTTTGGTACACATGCGTATATATATATTGAATACATGGCAGATCATGTTTTTCTTGCTCCTTTTTTATCTGAAGTCTGGGTGCAAACTGTCTTTTACTCACCCATCATAAAGATTACAAGCTTTCACACATGTCCTTCCTCGGCTGAAGTATTTACAAGAGAGACACTGATCCGGACCGGGACCCCAGCATCCTGCCACTGAACACAGTGGATCACAAACCATCCTTAGCTGAGCTGCGGAAGACATTCACAGAATTTGTTTTACACTCATAAATGGGCATTATATGGGAACAAGTCATCATTTTAAAGGCCCCATGAAATTCAAACTGAAGTTTTGTGACTTTTAAACCATCTGACTTTGAGGTCATCCATATGCTAGTGTACGGCTAAACATCTATATGTTTCTCCCTAAAATCCTGTTTCAATATGTCAGCATAGGAAAGAAAACCGCACTCATTAAAACCATTAAGTTTTTAAACAGATATTGCAGAGGTTAGATTTTGCTTTGTGAGTTAATTCAAGCATAATCAAATATTCATATACGAATTATACTGAATATACGAGTCCCAAATAAAAACTCTGTATTCAATTGACTGAACTGTAGCGTCTGGACCAATCAAACACACAATATATATTTTGTTAGCTATATTTAACAAATGCTCTGTAACCCCCCCCAGTTAACAAGCCATATGAGGACCTATGAACCCTTCCCCCCGAAATGCGTAACACCCCAGGAAGCCGAACAGGCCCCTGGTTCCATGGCAACCAACGCTGATATCACTGGGTTTATTGGCCAAAGGAATGCAAAGCAGGGAAAATCCCTGCATGTCCCAGGGCAAGAGGCAGTGTAGAAATGGACTTTTCTACTAATTAATTCATAGGAAAACCTTTCTTTGAATGAACAGTGTATCCTTAAGGTCATTGGGTATATTATTGTCATCGTGTATTTTGTCTTTGATATTTTTAGACTATTTTAGGCATGCTTGTGAGGGAACCCATTCCTGTCATCCTTTCACTATAAGTAACTCTACCATGTTTAGTATCTATGAATTCGTATTCGGATGATCTAATTGAGAGTGTATATTGTATGTTTACACCGACGCAACATATTAGTGTTCTAAGAGTCTTTAATAATTTTTATACAAGCTTCATATGCAAATTACCATGCTTTCAAACAAAGGGCCATAAAAATGCCCCAGTATCTCAGAACTCCCACTTGAGATTCCGGACTTCCTCATTGGACAAGCCCATCTTGAGAGGCGTGAATCTTTGCAGGCTTTAAAGGCCACACTTCATGTGACCCGCCCAGTCGGTGGTTTGTTTTAATTCTGAGAGGATGTGAGAAAAACGCACCCGGAAACCCTAAGCTCGTGCCAGGCTTCGGCCTCGACCTTTCCATTTCACCAAGATTCTCTGACTCAAACTGGTTCTTTCTCATCAACCAACTTCAGCAAGATTTTGGGCCTTAAGATTGCATCAGGAATCTATTTTCAGACAGACGAGACTTGCAAGTATCAAACTTAGTCTTATTAATTGATACATTATGTATCAGTGACACCTTTCTTGAACTAAGAATTTGACGTTTCCCTCAGGTGTAGATCTGCTGAATATGCAAATGGTTCCATAAATTTCATTCCTTATGTCTCTTTTCTGTACTGAGTTAAGCTTTAACCCTTTCCTATACCAACTGTATGTGTGTGTGTGTGTGTGTATGTGTATGTTAGACCAGTTTATGTGTTTATGTGTGTGTTAGACCAGTTTATGTGTTTATGTAGTATGTTAGACTAGTTTAAGTGTTTATGTAGTTAATAAAACCTTACTTGTATCACACTTGACGTGGTTCATTGTTTGCTCATAACTGGAGTCACTTAATCATGCAGATTTATGCTACAAGCTTTTGTAGAAATGTACAGTAAGGAAGTTATTTCCCTTAACCAGGAAATTAACGTTCTTAGAATTGACAAGACAGTTGACCCTGAGAGGTCAGCTAAATATCTACAGCGGATCTAAAATATTCATAATTAATTATAACTAGTTATGATTAATTATTCATATTTCCCATGAGCTGATTCGTTACAGAACGAAAGTCCTTCATATAATCAACTGGGACCATCAACAGTAAATGTAACGCAGTGGATGTCAGGGATGTTGGACAGTCCAGGTCTTTCTGTCTACTGTGATTGGTATAGTGTTGAAAAGAGACCAACGAATGAGCCAGATAACAGCGCCATTGATCCCACACACCACAGACTTATTATCACACTAATTACATCAGGCACAGCTTGGCAGTGCAACACTGTGGGAAGTGTTCTGCAACTGTCAACATCTCCATTACAGATAAGTCTGTGCTCGATTTCATCAGTTCAGGGAATTATTTTCATACATAAGATATTGGCCTGTAAAATTATTGCCTTTATGTCCTATATGTGTCCCAAAGGTGAAGTGTATTGAAATTCAAGCACTGGCAGACCTAATAAACTGGTCCATTATTAATGCTCAAGTACTCTATGATGTTAACTGGGCTGACAGTTTTATAGATCATTTAGCCAATAACTGTGCAAATTGCACAAAACCTCATCCTCACATTTAATAGATAACAAAAGAATTATGGGGAAGAAATCACATTAAATGATTTTAAAGGCCCCATTAGAGAAAAGAAGCCTGATTTTAGGACCATTTAGAGTTTAGATTATTGTCATGACAATTATGCACATTTACCCCTATACACACAAACCCATCTTTTGCTTGATAGTATTGGCTAGAACACTCACTACACTCTCTGGGGTCCCTGTTGTTCTTGATCAGAGCTCTCTGGGTGCTGGTGCGGAACAGACTGGTCCAGTTCACTGAGTTGTAGAAGCAGAGGTGGCTGTTGTTGGTCATGTAGACGTTACCGGCGCTGATCTCTCTCAAAGACTGGAACTTCAGCGAAGAGATCCAGCGCTGCTTCAGGATCAGCAGAGAAATACCACTGAGAAAACATGAATATGATTAGGAAGTCAATAAAAATGTCCAAACCTATCGCTCTTTCATATCATTGTATTGTTTATCTGATAATCTTGCCACAGACAGCTTTACTTCGATCCACTGTGATTTTGGAGCTTAAATCAAATGTATGAAAAGCCATATGTATGATAATGTTGAAGTCAGTTTCCCTGACGTTGGCCATGAAATAATGATTATGCAAAAAATACTTTACTGATCAGCTCATAAATCAGATGTGCCTGACAGAAAGTAATCTTACCTATAAAGTGTTCTTCCTCCTATGGTGACAAGGTTGGAAAAGACACCAAGGTCAGTCATGTTCTCTGGCCAAGACTGGATGTTCAAGTAACCTTTGGATGGAATTACCAAACAAGTAACAAACCTATAATTTAACAGTTAATGTTTTGATATGGCAGTAAAAAACAAAGGAAAGATAAAGCAAAAGTAGCCAACAACTTGCAAAAGTAATAAACAAATGTAGAAATGTAATATCCCACCACAATAGCTATGTTTCCATCACCCTATTTTAATGCGCAGTTTGAAGTATCGCATGAGAAACGAGTGATGGAAATGCCAAATTTCGAATAAAAATCCCTTAATTCGCAAAAAAGTTTTTACGTTCACTTGACGTGGTTTTTGACTTGTGCGAAAAAGGGTTGATGCGATTATTGGGAGATGGAAATGCATTTTGCCAATAAATTCCTCCAAGCGCATCAAAAAAGTAATGTGACTGCACTATGGGACAGCAAAACCTGACTAACCAGCAGATCGATCTCATGCCACAGCATCTGAAATGTTGTTATGGTCATTCGGAAATGCACAAGCAAAGTCTGTCATCAAAGTGTTTCTGTACAATTGCCTCTCAGAAATGTCTTACACGACTGCGTTCCCAAACAGAAGCATCCACCTCCGAAAGCAATGACCGCATTCATTGTTTCGTCTGCTCGCTCTGAGGCACAAGTAATTTATTATATATGAAAATGAATATATTCTCCTACTTCTCTTAATGATTTATAGTGCCAGTTTATCCAGGAGTGACAATTTTGTTCTCTTTGACTTGTTGGATGGAAACAATGCTTGTTCGCAAATGTTTTATGCGATATTCCAGTTTTGCTGGTGTTAAATTCACAACTTTGGATGGAAACCCGGCTAATGTTTCAGTATTAGGGGTGATTTCCATGGTTGCACATGCTCTTATGATCAATACATTTGTGCATCAGAATCTGAGGTGCGTTTATATGGTTGGCATGGGAACTGCGCTCACGACAACAGTCATAGGTCTTTCTTATTGTGCAGAGTTTCATTACGTTTCACTCCATTAACTGCAATATTATATCTGGCTGTGGCGCACACCAGATTTTAATTAAACAAAACCTTTTAACATGACTAACTGTTCAGTTGTTCTAACCTATTATAGTCAACAAATAAATACAGTAACAAATCCCATTAGGTGTAAAAATAAGGATCCATGTACTGTGAAAGTGACAGAAATATAGGCTTGACATCACATGTGTTTTTTTATTTGCATATAGCTTTACCAAATATCTTAAGATTAATGACAACCTGTGATCTCTCTGACGTTCCGGAACACATTTAATCGCTCAGGATCCAAAGCACCGATACCATGATACATGTCTCTGTTAAACAAAGCAAAACAGTTAATGAGTGTAAGGAGTGCGAAGAGTGCATTTGTATACAAATTACACCTTGCAAATTAAAAGTGAACATTTTCTACTACGTCTTATACCCTTAAAAATGATTTTGTTTCCATAAACTTATATAGTCAGGTTGATTCAGTCATATTAATTCATTTTGTTTACTTAAATAGAAACTCAAAAAGGATCATTATTAATAATGAAAAATTTTAATTTGAAGTATTTTAATAAATATTTTTACGTAGAATCTTTAAAAACAGGATTTTTTATGAGCACTGTAATATAAGAAAGACAAATATCACCAGGCAAATATTTTTTTAAATACAGAAAAAAAGTTATTCGAGGACATGTAACCCTGAAAACCCCTGTTCCTGAGGACATTTTGCTCAACAAACAGGTTTTGATAGAGTAATAATGTCCTGGGAACAACAAGGTCGATCTTATCAGGATTTAAACTGACTTTTCATCAAGGTCCGTAGACTGTAGTATGACTACAGAATTTTTCTTCTGTCAACATGCAGACTAACACATAAGCTTTATGTACATCAAAAACACCTCACTGCAGTGCTTGCTGGCATGCTGGGAGAAGTTGACATGCACTTATAGCAGCTTTTGAGGGCACATAGCTGTTCAAAGAGAAAAACAAATGCCATCTGGGAATATCCGACACTGTCAGACATTACCCACCCTTTGATGCCTGTGATGAGGACGATGAGGTTGCCGTTGATCTTGGTGCAATTGACAAACATCTCAATGTTGCTGGAATCTACAGTTTGAGCAGTTTGAAGACTGCCGGTACCTATACCGTCACACACTGAACACCACATACAAAAACAGACATGAACATACAGTAATGTAGAGGTTATTTGCTGTTTTGAAAAGAAACAAGGTAAGTATGGTAACGTCTCGGTTACGTATGGTAACCCTCGTTCCCTGAAGGAGGGTTGAGACGTCACGTCGGATGACCGACGAATTGGGATCTAGAGAGACCAATCTACTTCGAGTGTAAACTAAACGAGCCAATGCACATTGGCATGCGATTATTGCATCCAGCTTCCGCTGATCACAGCGTGAGTATAAGTTGGCAGCAGATGCAGCGCATATTCAGGTTTTCGCTGAGGAGCCCAACCGTTGACCCGGCCGCTCAGCGGTGGTACAGGAGCTGTGGCGAGGGGACGTGACGTGACGTCTCCGTTCCCTCCTTCAGGGAACGAGGGTTACCATACGTAACCGAGACGTTCCCTTTCAGTCGGTCACTCTCGACGTCACGTCGGATGACCGACGAATTGGGATCCTACCAAAAGTCAACAGCTACTGCCCCTTCCAGTGTCCTGTGGAAGCCACCTGCGCCCCTACTTTTTGGCGTAGACCAGGGATTGCACAAGAGGACCAGCTACTGCTGCTATGGCACTACCCAATGAGTAAGACTGGATAACACTGGGAAAACGTACCCGTTCTACTTGGAACAGGGACGTTACGGAAGCTCCAACCTTCCCGAAGGAGGTTTCAGAAGCAAATACACAAATGAACATTCCTTAGGTGCATATGGAAGAATGGAGGTGATTGTAACCCTCTTGGAATGACAGAAGTCTGCCGGGGAAACACGGGCTCGAGGCTATACCATGGTCTTTACACATATGGGATCCACTTAGGTCTTACATATGGAATCCAGCCTTCTACCAGTTCTCGAGGATTCAACGAGTGAAGGCCTGGCGCTGGACGCTCCGCCACATCTGGCTGCCAAGGGGACGGAGGAGCTTAACAGGGTTTACTATATGGACTCTCTGGAGTGGTTTTAGCAAGCCGACCCGAAGCCGGGGCCTCTCAGTGCTTCTACCCGTTAGAGGTGAGAACACAGGAGGATACCCGCTCCACACTAAGACTATAGAATCTAGCGAACGTGTTAGGGGTCGCCCAGCACGCAGCTCTACAGATATCCGCCAGCGAGGCACCACGAGCCAGCGCCCAGGAGGATGCAACACTTCTAGTTGAGTGAGCTCGCAACCTGAACGGGCAGGGCACACCCTGTGCCTGATAAGCCAGGGTGATGGCATCCACTATCC